TTTGATTTGCATTTTGATCTCAGAGTCGTCACTGACTTGCTGGATTCAGTCGATGGCATCATCGTCCAGAACGCGGAGTAGTTCGCCGTTTTCGCACCGGAAATCTGTTTCGTCTTCTTCTTCGAGTCAATCGCCGAGTTCTTTCACGAACGGGAAGATGCTTCCACGATCTTGTTCGAGTTCAGCATCTTCGCATTATGGAATGAGCAGTGGATTTGGTTCTAGATCGATGGTTAATGGTGGTGGTTATGGTGATTGCTCACCGGTAGGGTTTATTTCCGATGATTTGATGTCTGAGCCTGTGGATGAGCCGAGGAACGGGGATAGCATTTCTGTGACGATTCGTTTTCGGCCTTTGAGGTAAGTGGAGAGATAGGAGAGTGTTGGATCAGATCCGCGATTGATTTTAGTGTTGGTGTTTTTACGATTGATTGAGTTTGGGTCTGGGGCTTATGCTTGCAGCGAGAGGGAGTTCCTGAAAGGGGATGAGATTGCTTGGTATGCGGACGGGGACAAGATCGTACGCAATGAGTATAATCCAGCCACGGCCTATGGATTTGGTACCCATTTTTGAATTTGTAGATTTCGAATTTGAACGTGTGCTAGTGTGGTTATGGTTATGTGTGAGGGTAGGAATGTTATTTTGGATTAACGTGGCTGCAATGTATGGGTTTTCGTGTTTATAACATATCGAGGGCGGTGTATCTCTGTGGCAGATAAGGTGTTTGGACCAGATACGATTTCACCGGAGGTGTATGAAGTTGCGGCTAAACCAGTCGTTAAGGCAGCTATGGAGGGTGTTCATGGTGCGAAACGCTTCCTAGAGTCCACCCAGCTAGACATTCTTTGAATTAAACAACATAATAACTTGTAGAGTCGTTAAAGTTCTAGAGTCCACCCAGCTAGACATTCTTTGAATTAAACAACATAATAACTTGTAGAGTCGTTAAAGTTCCCATATAAGATGTTGAAAGAAGGATCTTAGCTGCTGTGTTTTGATATGCAGGAACTGTATTTGCTTACGGTGTGACAAGCAGTGGGAAGACACACACTATGCATGTATGTATGATGCTTTAATGTTTTGCCTACTCGTGTAATCTTATTGAGAGTCTTAATTATTAAATCTGATTTGCTTAACCCATCAATCACTTACGAGTCTGTTAATTGCATTTATTGTGTTTAGTAACCATGGACTGTTTAATGAAAACCAGATTCTAAGAATTCAGCTTGTTCTAACTACCACTAACAGCTTTGTTAACCGTCAATATTCGTGTCCTTATAAGAGCCCGCCCCGTTAAAAGTTTGAATAATTATGTGTTCTTGTGAGTATCGTTCTTTGGACATATAAATCTTTGCAAACTCTACTTCTTGAATTTGACTTTGGATATTCTTCATCAAGTTGGGTTTTTCCTCATTTTTCTTCTCTACATTTATAGCCCTACATTACTTTTTGATGAATTGTGGCATGCTAGAAACTTCACATACTTGACCGTGTTGGGATGGATTTTTCCATACTGAAGTGGACAGAGGGATACAAGCTCTTATTTTCTTGCTGAATCAACTTTAGCATTTGATTTTTTAGCCTCCTAGTTTTTGGTCTTCTGCTGTTAATTTATCATTGTTGGTTAGCCTTTAGGGTCAATGACACATACATGGGGTTTTCTTTTTTACATATTCAGCTGGAAACTACATTTATATTGAATAATAATGAATCAAGGAACAAGTGCCAATAGTTTATTTATTTTTTCAATCAAGCTATATCCATTTCATTTTGGAACTATAGGTTGATTTGCAGTGAGTGATGAGTTTGGTTGAGAGACACAAGCTAATTTTCCTGATGCCAATATGACATTGTTATGAGATGATTCAATAATTTACTCTTCCTCTACTTTATATTTGCTTTTTCTACCATGATATTTTCCACAGTGTTTTATCTTTTTTATACTTTTCTACCTCCCCCAATTATAGCTTTGCAAACCCTATATTTCATGCATGAGTAATGTTAGTGATTTGCTTGAATAAATAATTCACAGGGAGATCAAAACTCTCCAGGGATCATACCACTGGCTATAAAAGATGTCTTCAGCATCATCCAAGATGTAAGTGTCCCGGCATAATTTTAAAGTGCTATCATTACACAACTAACAATGGTTCTCTTTGCCACAAATTTGATTCCTGAATAGTTTATAATAATTATTGAATTGAGTTAAATAAAATTTGAGACCAGATATGTTTGGTTAATGAACGTGCAAAATTACTACATGAACTAACGTTATTTAAGTTAAGATCAAATAATTTGTTAAATTGTTGATTTTTCTTTTGTTGGTATTTGATGAGCTAAATTGTCTGTCAGGTTCATCCATGATTTATTTAATGGTTATCGAATACATACAACCATCTAATTTTTTGAGGACATTACATCACAAATTTGTGGTGAATACTTGAACCTACAGCCTCTTTAAAGAGGTAAAAATACTTTTAAAATTTAATAAATACATATTATTATATAACATTGAATAATTATTAATATTTGTGAAGGGATTTTTGCTATTCATGAACTATGAAGAAAAGACTGCTACATATTAAAAAAAAAAATTGCACGACTTTTGCTTTACTGTAATTAGCCTTTCCTTTATTAGCATATTTTTCTTCCTAGCTTCTGCATGTTATCAAATTATTTTTATTTGTTGCAAAATTTTAAATCCTGTTTTTTATTTATTTTTCCGAGTATTTGACCATATAGATGAGTGTGTTTTTCTTTGTAGACTCCTGGAAGAGAATTCTTGCTCCGTGTATCGTACCTTGAAATATACAACGAAGTAAGTAATTCTGTACAGAGAGTTCTCAAGCTTCAGTGTCGACCATATCTAAATTGTTATTTAGTTTTTAAGTAATTCTGTACAGAGAGTTCTCAAGCTTCAGTGTCGACCATATCTAAATTGTTATTTAGTTTTTGAGTTCAATTGGTGGTTGTAAATCTAGTTTATGGCTTGTTTTTGTATGAAAGGAATATAGTTTTTGGCATCTAAACAATCAGGGGAAAACTGCTAAACAGTACATTCCAAATCTTCTTAGACTCATGATCATATTTGCTTTCTTGATACACAGGTGATAAATGACTTGCTGGATCCAACAGGTCAGAATTTGCGTGTTAGGGAAGATGCACAGGTGCTTAATGATAAATGACTTGCTGGATCCAACAGGTCAGAATTTGCGTGTTAGGGAAGATGCACAGGTGCTTAACTTGTCCTTGTAATCATCACACTGTAAACTGCTTTTGTTTTGGTCTAATTGTATATTTGATGCTGCTATCGTCAATTAGGGCACTTATGTTGAGGGTATAAAGGAAGAAGTGGTTTTGTCTCCTGGACGCTGCTATCGTCAATTAGGGCACTTATGTTGAGGGTATAAAGGAAGAAGTGGTTTTGTCTCCTGGACATGCTTTATCATTTATAGCCGCTGGAGAAGGTATTTACTGAGCACTTCTGCTTCGGTGCCATTTCTCTTCTCATTTTATGTGCATAAGTGATTTATGGCTAAAGGTCTTAAATGGCAGAGCATCGTCACGTTGGATCAAACAATTTCAATCTTTTTAGTAGCCGGAGTCACACCATCTTTACGCTGGTAAAACTAAACATTTCCTTGCTGGTGGAGCATCCAATTGCTTGCTCTTTAGTTCATTTCTTGGCTATGGTTTTATTTTCTATATCAGAATGAGGTTTGTTTTCCATGATATAAACTGCTTGCTGCAATCCAGGTGTCTTTATTTTCTATATCAGAATGAGGTTTGTTTTCCATGATATAAACTGCTTGCTGCAATCCAGGTGTCGCCTCTTTATGTTACCACTTAGAAACTTGTTGGAAGTGCATTTAAAAACACGAAACTGACAAACTTGTCCCTGCAGTGCTAGCTCTATGTGAAATTTGGGTCCCTTCCCCCCACTTAAAAAAATTATTTGTTTGCTAGAAACAATTAGTTGAGGAATTCCAAGTTCAAGATTATTCACAAATGGATGGAGTGATATGTACATAAATACATATATCATGGACCCAGATATGGTTTCTTCATGTGTATGTGATCAATACATAAATACATTCATAGAAACATAAAAATTTGCATACCCAAACCAAGTACATAAATTCAAATAGACACATAAATACATTCATAGAAACATAAAAATTTGCATACCCAAACCAAGTACATAAATTCAAATAGACACCTACACACGTAGGTGCAAGTGTGCATGCTTATCAGGTTATGATAAGTTCTGGTGTGTATGCTTATCAGATTTGTGGTTGCTTTCATCCTCTTGTGCATTCTTTTCCATATAAGTTCTGGTGTGTATGCTTATCAGATTTGTGGTTGCTTTCATCCTCTTGTGCATTCTTTTCCATTTTCGGCCTCTCTAAACTAAGGGTGCTTTTGCAGATGATTGAAAGTAGTGCACGTGGTGATGAGTATGACGGTGTCATCTTCTCTCAACTTGTAAGAACGGGCCTTCTTCATTCTGATATGTGGTTCTGTTGAACTTTAATGTGTCATTCTCATTAATATTAACTCCATGCTACAGAACTTGATAGATTTAGCTGGGTCGGAGAGCTCAAAGACCGAAACTACTGGACTGAGGAATGCTACAGAACTTGATAGATTTAGCTGGGTCGGAGAGCTCAAAGACCGAAACTACTGGACTGAGGAGAAAGGAAGGAGCCTATATAAACAAAAGCCTTTTGACTCTTGGAACAGTAGGTGCCTTTTTATAGGGCTTTTGTGTGTTGATTAAATATTTTTGCGCTTTTCCCTAACAAATATAAACGTACAATTAGGACTTGTGTGATTCTGAACCTACTTTAGAAAACCAAGTTTTGCTTCACCATCCATTATTCTTCTGCTATTACGTGCCTGTTGGTTAGGATCTCATCTATTTCATCAATCCATTTATTGTAGTTGATATTGGAATGTCTATGAATAAATGGTTAGGATCTCATCTATTTCATCAATCCATTTATTGTAGTTGATATTGGAATGTCTATGAATAAAGGTGGAAGTAATTTTTATATTTTGTTGCATTGTGAAGGTTATTGGGAAATTAAGCGAGGGAAAGGCATCCCATGTTCCTTATCGAGATTCTAAGCTTACCCGTCTTCTTCAATCCTCACTCAGTGGGAAAGGCATCCCATGTTCCTTATCGAGATTCTAAGCTTACCCGTCTTCTTCAATCCTCACTCAGTGGGCATGGACACGTTTCAGTGAGTATATGATTTAGAAACAACTTTTTTGTAGTCCGTGCTTCTCGTGAATGGAATTGTTGATGAATCATTTTTATTTATTATCATCTGCTGTCCCTTTTACTTTCCATTAATATTTATGCAGTGAAATTTTCCAACTTTTATTTATTATCATCTGCTGTCCCTTTTACTTTCCATTAATATTTATGCAGTGAAATTTTCCAACTTCTTTTTGGTTTAACATACAAATTATCTCCAGCTTATTTGCACTGTAACTCCTGCATCCAGTAACATGGAGGAAACTCACAATACATTGAAGTTTGCTAGCAGGGCCAAACGAGTTGAAATCTATGCCTAACATGGAGGAAACTCACAATACATTGAAGTTTGCTAGCAGGGCCAAACGAGTTGAAATCTATGCCTCGCGCAATAAGGTTGATTGAAGTTTCTTTTCGACATGAAGTTAAAAGAAAATGTCTGTTGTTCACATAAGCTTTAACACTTTTCTTCCCTCTTTATTATATGTTCAGATAATTGATGAAAAGTCTTTGATAAAGAAGTATCAGACAGAAATTTCAATCCTCAAGCAAGAACTTGATCAATTAAAGAGGGGGATGCTGGCTGGTGTTAATCATGAGGAGATAATGAATTTAAGGCAGCAGGTTTTTGTTTTCTTCGCTTATGTTTGGTGGCCCAATTACTATTTCCAGAATTCTATTTCACTAAGTCATTCTTATTATCATTAAATAGTTGGAAGAAGGTCAAGTGAAAATGCAATCAAGATTAGAAGAAGAGGAAGAAGCTAAGGTTGCTCTCATGAGTAGGATTCAGAGGCTGACTAAACTCATACTTGTCTCTTCTAAGAATTCTATTCCTGGATGTTTGAGTGACGTTCCTAGTCATCAAAGGAACAAATCTTCTTTTGAAGATGTAAGTTTTCTTTATAAGCTTTCTTAAACATGCATATGCACATTCATCTTACATTGTCTTATTTTGCTCATGAAACATTTTACTGTCAGTGAAGGGAACCTGTGGTTCTTCCTCCATACATTTTTGCAACTTGCTCATGAAACATTTTACTGTCAGTGAAGGGAACCTGTGGTTCTTCCTCCATACATTTTTGCAACGACAATTATCATCATAATCTGCTTCTATTTAGATAAGATTACAATGAAATTATTAGTTGTGTTACTTGTGTAGAATAAAACATCAAACCAGATATTTTTGTCAAGTGGCCTTCCTTTTCCTATTTCTATTACTTGTGTAGAATAAAACATCAAACCAGATATTTTTGTCAAGTGGCCTTCCTTTTCCTATTTCTATGTGACTGAATTTTTGCAGTTCTTACTTTAGTTTGAAAACAATAGATCTGTTGCTCATTTTTCAGTTTTCTTTTTCAGAAGGTTGAGGTCACCCAAGGGTTACTTTCCGGAAGTGAGAATCAAAATGATCTATCTTCAATTGTTCACTCAGATCAGTTGAACGGTGAACTCTTACCAGCTGATAGTACAATCACTGGATCATCTAACGTGAGTAAATTATTGGCACAACAGATTATCATACCGAAAGCTTATCACAAGTCTTGTTTGCTCAGATAATTTCTCTGTGATGTGTTTCATCTACATGAGTTTCTCTTCACCAATTAAATATCATACTGATAGCGTTTAGCGTTTTAGTTTTTTTTTTTTTTTTTTTTTTCCCAATTCTCTTCAGCGAAACAGTAGCAATTTATAAAGTACTCGATTATATCATATTAATTTATGGAGCTCACAAGGGATTTTGCTGGTTTTTTGTCGGCCCCCCTCCTTATTACAGTTTTTTTTTTCTAAGGAAAGTTTTTGTTGTTTTCTTAGAGTTATGAGCTATGAGTATTAAAATGATTGTTTGTATTGTAATGTAGGGGGAGATGACAATGTCAGATCAGATGGATCTACTGGTCGAGCAAGTTAAGATGCTGGCTGAAGAGATTGCGTTTGAAACCAGCGCACTG